TCTCTCTCTCTCTCTCTCTCTCTCTCTCTCTCTCTCTCTGTCTGTCTCCTGAGCTATCAGACAAACCATATAACATATTTGTATGTGAGTTTATTATAGTTTATATCTTGGTGGGATGAGGAAACTTACAGAGACTAACCCTGGCACCCAGCACCCAGCTCTGTGCGCCGGTCCAGGTCCTTCCCGCACCGCCCACCTTGGCCTGCATCTCGCCCGGGTCGGTAACGGCCCCTCTCGCAGTGCGGATGAGATGCCGGCCACCTTTCTGTCCCGCCTTGGGCTGAGCTTCTCCGCACCGGCTTCCGTCCCAAGATGGCCGCACAGGCCCTCCTTCCGGCTACCTCTCCGCGGTCTCTCCTCCGCAGCAGGAGGAACCAGACCCGGGGCCACGGCGCACGGTGCGCACGGGACACAGACTTGGGGAAGCGCATCTGATGGCGCGGTGGTTAGAGAGGCGGCAGCAGCCGGACACGGCGGACACAGGACAAGCCTGCGTGTGACGCTGCTAACGGCTCCACGTAGCAGTGACGTGAGCTTTGGAAGTCAGCTTTGAGCAATCTTTGACAACAAGGAACTCCTAAGAGCAGTGGACAGAGGTGTGAAGAAGTACAGGTAAGGTAGGGGAACCGAATTCTGAGCCCCTGACCTCAGAGGGCACGGGTCTGCTTTTAAAAGTGTGAGTCACAGTGTAGGTCATCTCATGTGGGCATGCGAGGGATGTAAGTCTGAATTTTAGAACTTCCTACAGCTTGGAAGTAAATGTACGGTATTCAGCCAAAAATGTGTTAGGAGAGAATTCAAAGGACTGCTTCTGCGCGAGGGGAGAGGAATGAGTGTGGGAAACACAGGAGACGGAAGAGCGGAAGAGAGAGCAGAGCGAGCCCCCCTCAGAAACGGTGGGAGAGTTGGTGCTGCAGAACAGCACTCAGATTGGGGATGAGAGGGAAGATATAAAACACGGACATAACAGGCTTACGAGACATCGAGAGCCCTGCAGCACAGACAGGAGTGGAGACAAGCACTGGGTGGTAACCACCTCGCAGCACTGGGTGGTAACCACCTCGCAGGTGATGCGACCTCATGGGCAAGAATGCCCCTTACGAGCAAAGAAAGGAGACGAGAGAGTGCATGGCGAGACTAGGACTGCACAGGAGGCAGAGTGGGAAGGCCTGGCAGAGGGACTCAGAGGAGGCAGCCGGGCAGGCTGGAGCTGAGGCAGGAAAGGCCCATGCAGGGCTCAGGAAGAGAAGAGGCCCGAGTGGGACACACTATTCAGTCTATACAACTATGCAGATGGGAAGAAACACATTGGTCAAGGCAAAATGACCTTATTTTCCATCTGGACTTTCAGTGGTGATTTTACAATAAGGACTCTCTAAAAATTCAAGAGGTGAGAGGTCTGTATGACAGAAAGACGAGAATAATTCCAGTTTAAGTGAGGGAGGGAGAGTGTATATATGTCAGTTGTCAGTACCAAGATGATTGATGCATTTTTTTTTGATGTTAAGAGGAAATTAGAAAAAAAAGACATTAGCAAATAAAGGAAATTCACTCTGTCTTTAAAAAAATATTTTATTATTTTTATTTTATGTGCTTGCATATATTGCTTACATGTTTGTAAATGCACCTATCTTGTGCAGTGTCAGATCCCCTAGAACTGGAGTTATGGATGGTTATTAGCCACCATGTACATGCTGAAAATTGAACACAGGTCCTCTGCAAGAGCAACCAATACTCTTTTTTTTTATTTTATTTAATAACCACATGATTTGAAGAGCCATTTCATTACAGCTTTAACATATTCAGTAACAATTTCCAGAGCAAGAATTGATACATCTCTTTCAAAAGTGGCTGTAAATTTTAGGTTCAGAGTTGAATTAATAGTTATATAATATTGAATTCAGAATAAGCCCCGTAAGACATAAAATTGAATGAGGTTTTACCCTTTAAAGATCTCCATTTCATTTAAAAATATGTTGTTTCCCACATTTTAAAAATTAATTTATTTTTACACCCACCTCCCAGATGGCACCCTCCCATAGCCTCCCTCACCCCACTAGAGCCCTTATACTCTGATATCCCTGCTACTGTCTGCTGTTTTGTCAGCACCCCCAGCCATTCCCCACTACTTGTCCATCTGGTGAATCTAGTCAGCCTATCTAGAGATCCTTGTTTTAGGAAGATCAGCTCTTCCTCATCTAGCAGCAATCAGTTGTCAATATTCCTTTGGATAAGATTGGGGGTCTGCTGTTCATGTTCCCAGTTCTATACTGGGTTACTATCTGGGAGTCCCTTAGGCCACCCTGGCCAACAACTCAAAAGAAGGTATTGCTTGTCTGGCATTGTTACTTGTTATGTAGCCTTTAGCTATACATGTGGATTCTTATGAAGCTATGTTGATCCCTTTAATTTTTGGTTATACTTTCCTTTTGGGTATTAAGGCCCTACAGTTGGCACAGATAAATCAATTTATTTTTACTCTTAAGGCCGTTTGAGGATCTGTTCTCTAGGGGTTACATGGGTTTG